TTATACCTAGAGAATCCTGAAGACGCCTCCAAAAAACTCTTATATTTGATAAATGAATTCAGTAAAGTTTCAGGATACAAAATTAATATACAGAAATGAATAGTGTTTCTATGCACCAATATTGTTCTAGCTGAGAACCAAATCAAGAAGGCAATTCCATTTGTAATAGCTATGAAAACATATAAAATATCTGATCATATACTTAACCAAGAAGGTGAAAGATCTCTATGAAGAAACCTTTATAAATATAAAGAAATCTTATTTATTCCTGTGTATTTAAGTTTTTTTTGCTATTGTGAGTAACATCTTTGTTATTTTTTGCATATAGAACATTTATCAATTTTATATTCATTTTATATAATTGGATGAACTCTCAGTTCTAATACTTTTTCAGTTAATCCTCTTGAGTTTAACTGCTTTTTACAGTTCTGATTTTTAAAAAAAAATCTTAGATTTTGTCAAAGAATAAATTCATAGGGCCTTACTATAGGAAACTATAAAACTCTGGGGATTTAAAAATTACTCGAGCCTGGCTGCTACTTCTGGGGAAATGAAGTATTTGTACTTGTCTCTATTTTTCCATCTAAATACAACTAAAACCCCCTAATATTACATGTAAACAAACACAGCACTCTGAAAGGAAGAGAGAAGAAAGGCAGACTGACTAGGTAATCTTGGAACCCAAGGAATGACATGGTGGTGAGTTCTTGGGTTTTCATTTTGTGTCATATATTACAGACTTGAAGCTGAAGACATTGGCAACCCAGAAATGCCAATGCATGCAGGCGAAGAAATCTCCAACAAAAGCCTGCTCTCTGTAGCCAAAGGGCTAAAAAGGGAACAGTCTAGCAAGACAGAATAACATTGAGACAGTAACTGCTCTACTCTAGTCAAACACCACAGAAAAACTATGACCTCCCATGGCAGCAAAGGCTGAGTGGGGAGCCTAGACATCCACTCTTTTGAACTGTCACAAGGCACCCAGATACCTGTAGAATATGGACCCTTGTACCCAATGAGCAATAGTGTGGTAACCCTTCCTGTCCCTGCTAAGGTGGTGTTAAAGGAGCCATGGTGGAGAGGCAGGATTTTTACACCACCCAGTGCTAATGAGGTGTCTCCCCTCACCTGGTCAATGGAGGTGTCAGGGTGGTATCAAAAGAGGGTAGCTGGAGTTCTCACCCCCACCCAGCAGTAATGAGGAGGTCCTCCTCACTGTAGTGTCAATAGAGGCCGAGGGGAGAACCTAGACTCCTACTCTCACCTGCCAGTAATGAGACAGCACCCCCACTTCCCTGGCAAAAACTGTCAAGGAAAGTCACCTAAAACAGTAGGATCAAATAATATCCAGCATCCCACAATACCCAAATTGTCCAGGTTTCAATCACATGGATTATTTGGATATTGCAATCACAACAATCACTTATGTGAAGAACCAAAAAAATCACAACTTCAATTTAAAAAAACAATCACGAGATTCCAACACAGAGATGACAAAGATGTTAGAATTCTCCATGAAGGATTTTTAAAGCAGCCAGCATAAAAATGTTACAATAAGGAATTACTAACACATATGAAACAAAGGGAAAAAATAGAAAGTCTCATAAAAGAAATAGAAAATATAAAAATAAAAAACCAAGCTAATTTTAGAACTGAAAAATACAGTAACAGATGTGAAAAACCCAATGGATAGTCTCCACAGCAGGATGGAAGGAACAGAGGAACGAATCAATGAAGTAGAACAATAGAAATTCCCAGATCTGGACAACAGAAAACAGACCAAAAAAATAATAAGCAGAGCCTTGGCCACCTGTGGGACTATAACAAAAGGTTTGACGTTTGTGTCACCAGAATCCCAGAGCAGAGGAAAAAGGGAAAGACTGACAAAGTACTTGAAGAAATAAAATCTGAAAAGTTCCAAAGTGTGGCCACAGACACAAAATCACAGACTCCAGGAGTTGAGCAAACCCCAAACGTGATAAACTGAAAGAAATTCACAAAAAAGACACATCATAGTCAAACTTCTGAAAACAAAAGACAAATAAGGAATCTTGAAAGCTTTAAGATAGAAACAACTTACCTGTGGGAGGAAGACAATTCCAGTGAGAGAGGAATTTTCATAAAAACCTCTAGAGGCCAAAAGAATGTGGCACAACATTTTTCATGGCTGAAAAGAAAAGAACGCTCAGCACAGAATTCTATATCCAGCAAAAGTACACTTTAGGAGTGACGGGGAAACTAAGAGTACTTGTCACCAGCAAACCTGCCCTCAAAGAATGGCTGAGGAAAGTTCTCTAAAGAAAAAGGAAATGATAAGGAATTTTGAAACATCAGAAAGGAAGAAGGAACAACTGGAAGGGTAAAAATATGAATAAAAACAATACGTTTTCCTTCTTTTGAGTTTTTAAATTTGTTTGACAGTTGAAGCAAAAATTATAACACGGATGTGGTTCTGAATGTATATAGAGGAAATATTTCATACAGTGTATTATATATGGGGGAGGGTAAAGGTATGTGAAGGGGGAGGTAAGGTTTCTACATCATGGTAAATCTATGCTATAGAATACCGTATGATCATTAAAAAATAGGGGATATGCTTTTTTTAGTATATGAGATAATATTGGTGCCGTATATAATTTAGAGAAGAATACAAACCTTGGCAAAATAATGGATCCCATTTTGTTAAAGGATGCATAAACCCATATATTCAGACAGATGTTTATATAAGTTTGTATTTTTGTGCACAGTGATGGAGTATGTATGTTTACACATGTTGTGCATATTTCAAAGGGTACATAATAAAGGAGCTAAGTGGACGTAGGGATAGGTACACAGGTATGTATACTCCCTTTCTCTGTGCTCTTTTGTTTTTGTTCTTGGGGTGTTTGGTTCTTTTTTTTTTTTAGAGGTGGTCTTCCTCTGTCACCCAGGCTGTGGCATGGTCATAGCTCACTGAAGCCTTGAAATTTTGAGCTCAAGCAATTGTCCCACCTCAGCCTCCCAGATAGCTAGGAGTACAAGCATACACCACCATACCTGGCTAACTTATTTTTTATATAGATGGGTATCTCACTATGTTGCACAGGCTGGTCTGGAACTCCTGGCCTCAAGCAATCCTCCTCCCACAGCCTCTCAAAGTGCTAGGATTACAGGTGTGACCCACCTCGCCCAGCCCATTATGTATTCTGATAGATCTTCTAGGCATTGAAGTACTGATGTTTGTATAGAAATATGTATTTTGTGGTTTCCTTTTTTGTTGTTGTTAACATGCGGTATCATAATATGTGTGGTAAGCTACAATTTCCTTTTCATCTTAGCAATATATTTTGGAGATTTTCCTATTCCCCAAGATACACAATGTTTCCATAGTCAGTACATGTGACCCTACCTCATTCTTCATAACTACTGTGCAACACCCCTCCATATGAATGTGACCACAGCATGTCTTGCTGTTCCCCCTATTTGTGAACATTCTGCTGGAGGTACATTTTTGGTATTACGAGCATTGCTGCAACAAAAATCCTTATAGATGGTTTTTCTACACTGGTGCTTGTATTTCCCTGGGCTAGATATATTGGAAAGTAGAAATACTAAGTGAAAAGCTAAATTCCCTCCTGAAAAGCTATACCCTTTTGCAGTTTTCTCAAGCCCCCACTGCATAGATGCTTTTGTGTCTACTGATTGACAAATGGATGAGGCAATAAATTTCCCCAGATTACTCTGACTGCTGCCCAAGGTTCCCTCAAGCTTAGAGCCATCCCAAAGGTGTTCTCCCATTTTTGCAGAAATTTATTCTGTACTTTCCTCTTTCCATCGAGTTCCACTTGTCTTCTGTCTTCCAGGAACCCTCATAATTTTTATCTACGTGCCTTCTTGTTTTCTAGTACTGTTATGGATTGCTTTAAAAGTATATTTGTATGATACCATTGGGGGAAGCTGGGTGAAGGGTATATGGAATATAATTTTTGCTGTTTCCTGTGAGTCAGTTCTTTCAAAATTTAGTGTTTAATTTGTCATTTTTAGGGTTTTGGATTAAGAGGGGAAGTCTGGAGCAAGTATTCAGTTAATCACTTTGATTTCATCCTATTTTGTTTGAATTATTACAAACAAGTATATTATTTTTGAAATAATAAAATTCCATGTACCTTTTTAAAAAAGAGGTAAATATATATATATAAACACACATGAAAAGAAATGTACAAAAATAATTTGATTTTTATATTTGCCCTTTTTAACAAGGAGCTTTTATCTCATTTCTAATTTGAAAAACAAGATCAGGGAATTGGGGTGAGTTACAAAGATATGTTTCAATAAAAAGATGCTCATAAATGAATGGGAATAAACTGGTAAGTTATGAATTTAATCCTTGTGAAGATACTAGTTTGCATCTAGTTGTTATAAATGTTTCCCGTAAAAATTCTAATTGTGATAACCATGTAAAGCATCATTAAATTTTTGATGAAGTGTCATTAAACTTTATGCGGGCGTATGTGAAATAATAACTGCAGCACTCCTATTTTCAGGGATCCAAATGGTTCAAGGTCACAGGTTAGTGGAGCATCTTCCTTTCCAGTCTGGGCCACGGCGGGCCACTTGTTGGAGTAAAGATACTTATTAGTCATTATTTTCAAGTGTTTTATGTTGTTCCCAAATTAAACCCAGTTAATACTGTTTGTGTGTTTGGGGGAAATTCCATTTTACCTTCTTGTCACCCGGGGCCTTGGTAAAGTTAGGCTTTCAAGCAGGAAACTGGGCTCCTACCTGGTAATTTACTACCCTCACTCTACTTTCCCAAGCTCGGGACTGGTCTCGGCCGTGAGCTGGTGTGCTCTGCCTCGGTTACATGGCCACCCCCAGGTTGGGTGTCCAGATGAGATTGGATAGGGAGGGTCTCTGAAAGTGTCCCAGGTCAGTGCCTCCTGAGAAGTGCTCTTGTGCTTTCTAAATAAACTGGGAGACTGTTGCTCATAAATAATTCTGCAACCCACTCTTTTCCTTAGGCTTTTTGGAAAGGATATAAACAACGGAAGGCGTATATGCACAGACGGCAAATGTTCATTGATAATATTTATTCTATTGTGAAGGTAAATATCCTTTTTTGCCACATCAAGTGCTTGGCTTAAAGTTTTCTTCTCATTTTGATTCTGGAAGGCAGCTGTGGAAAAAGGGTATGTGTGACCTGTAGACGATTTGGAATCCAGATGAGAGTTGAAATAGTGGAGCTGGAGAGAAAGCGGAATCAATGGGATTGGTTTAAAGGACCTTTTACACTGAAGACAGAGAATGACATAATCTAGACCCATTGTGCCTTAGCTCCTCAACGAGATAATGGCCTGTGCCCTTCATGGATCATGTGCCAGTTCTCCCAGAAAACTATTGGTAGCAGTTGGTTCCTCATGAGACATCTTAAGATGTTTTCCTGTAAAAAACCTAAAGGATTGGGTGTATTGAAAGGATAACAGAGAAAACCCTAGACTTAGTTTGATTCCCTGACTCATTGCAACTCTCAGCAAAATGCCTTGCCCTCTTGGCTTTTATTTACTGAGATTAAAGCAAAATAGTACAATGCTACATTACCTTCCCTGCCTCTCTCCTGTTAAGACAGTGAGATTAAGGGTAACATGTAAAATGTTTTGAATGCCTTAAGAGAAAGCAATGAAAGAACTGGGAGATGAAGAGTAGGCTTTAGATATTTATTATTTAGTGGACTGCTAATTTTTATTTTTTATCAAATAAAATATGATTTCTAGGAAAACTACATGAAACTACATTGAGTTGTTTGGTGATTGCCTTGGCTTCTCTACTTATTTTTAGATTCAGTCCTGGTTCCGAATGGTGACAGCAAGAAAGAGCTACCTTTCACGACTACAGTATTTCAGAGACCATGTAAGAGAAATGCTTGTGGTTTTTTTTTTATCTAAGTTGAGAATGAACTAAATGAGTACTTTGTTTAACGTTAGCATTGTTAAATACAAAATAAAATGATTTTTATTAAGTGGTAGAAATGAACACTTAGGAAAGAATAGATCTGAGAACTTCATGTGACAATATTTGAAGGCTTACTTTTTTAAATCAGAACTGATGGTGAAAATAAGACTTTACCAGTCAGGACTGGGTAGAAAACAAGAGAGAGGAACAATGTGGTCTAGTAACACCAAAGAGAAGACTCTAGAGAAATATTTTCCAACATTGTATATATAGTTTTTCTAACAGCTAACTGATTTATTTACATAGGAACCAAACAGGAGGGATATTTTTTTTAGAATCTTTTAAAAGTAGTCATGGGAACATAGATTGGATTATTTGAATTCTGTGTTAAAGTTCTTTTCCCTTTTTATATCCCTTTATGTAAACAGTCCCCCTACAGCCTTGTTTATACTTTTTGCTAACTTATCCTACCCATTCTTCAAAGAAAATAGAAAAATAAATGTCAGATACACCACATCTAAATATTGTCAGTTCTAAGTAGTGTCAGTTCATAAATGTTCTAAATTCTAAAATAGTAGAGTAGATGGGACTCTGGGAAGTCATGATTTGTCTCAATCTTTTGCAGAATAATGAAATTGTGAAAATACAGTCCTTATTGCGAGCAAACAAAGCAAGAGATGACTACAAAACATTGGGTAAGTGGAAGCGTTCTGAAATAAAGCATGAACTCATCCTCCAGGCAAGGACAAGTTTTTTCCATCTTGTTCTAAGAACAGAAGGATGCACGTTACTTCCAGTAGATGTTGATCACCTCAGGCCTCTACACCAGCCCAGTACTGAACAAGTACACAGAGAATACATGGTAATAGGAACTGGGCCTTCCTATATGTAAGTGGAAGGGAACAGCCAAGTGGGTTTAATTCTGCTTCAAAAAGAATGGGGTTGGCATAAATGCTGATTTTTTTTTTTTAATTTGAGCTAGAGTCAAGAATCTAATACAAAAAAATTAATCAGAAGATAAGCTTACATTTAAATTGTTTAATTTGTTAGCTGGGCTGTGATTCTTTTCTGCCTCATTTTAAAGATAAAACATGTTCACATAAGAATTTTTGGAAATACAAATAAAAAGGAAGAAACTGGAGCCACATCTCCCCATGATGATAACTACAAACATCTTCCTCTGAGTTCATTCTGGACTTTCCATAGCAGCTATGGTTTTTAACACATTAACTGCCATGTGAGTTATATTTAACTCACGCTAGTTTTGAGCCTGGGGCCTCGTGAATTGTATGTAACTCACATGTCTCTTCACCTTGGGAGCTTTGAGAACTATTTTTCAAGTTGCACATAACTCACACACAGAAAACAATAAAAAATAACAAATTTTTCATTAAATTAGAAAGGATCCTTTTTTTTTTTTATTTCAGCATGTTATGGGGGTACAGATGACTAGGTTACGTATAGAAAGGATCCTTTTGTTTTAGACGTTTTAATTCTATTTTTGTAACAAAGCCCATGGCCCCAAGGAAAAGGTTTTTTCTAGTGTGGCAGTCAATGTATTAAAATATATTTTTTTTAATAATACTAGCATATTGCATTTGTAGAAAGTTTGAAAATAGCAAAATAAAAATCACCTAGATAGCAATTCTATTTTGTGCCATCTTCTTACAGTCCGAACTGTGCCTATCTTTGTTTGTGTGTGCAGCTTGTTTTTGTTTTTTTTAAGAGACAGGATGTTACTCTGTCACCCAGGCTGAACTGCAGTGGCATGACCATAGCTCACTGTATGTAACCTTCCACTCCTTGGCTCAAGTGATCTTCCCACCTCAGCCTCCTAAGTAGTTAGGACTACCGGCATGAGCCACCACACCCAGCTAATTTTTTTCTAATTTTTTTAGAGACAGGGTCTCATTATGTTGACCAGGCTAGTCTTGAACTCCTGGCCTCAAGCAGTCCTCCCGTCTTGACCTCTCAAGTAGCTAGGACTACAGGCATACATCAATATGCCTAGCTATTTTTTTTTTTTTTAATTTTTTGTAGAGACGAGGTCTCACCGAGTTGACCAGGCTGGTCTCAATCTCCTGGCCTCAAGTGATCCTCCCATCTCAGCCTCCCACAGTGCTGAGATTATAGGCATAAGCCACTGCGCCTGGCCTCTTACTTTGGCTTTTTCCATAAAATGATTCCTTATATATTACATTTTTATGTTCTAATTATCTCAGCATGCATATATCCCAGATTAAATCAAGAAGAGCCTGCTGATAAATTTATTACTTACACTGCCAAGTAACTAGTTTAACTAGCGCCCTTTATTGTCTTAAATTTATCTGAATTAAGGGATGAAGCATATGGCTCAAGAAAGATACTCCCTGGTACTTGTGAAGGAAGAGGCTAGGGAAGCTTTGGAGTCCACCCTCTGCCTCCGGCCTGTAGCATCTAGTGGATCATACCTTATCCCACTAGATTCCAGAATTTGTATGCAAACTGAGGAAGGAAGAGTCAATCTTTTCAATGCCACAACTTCTCCACTTTTGAATTCATGAGGTCTCTCAGTTGGTAGATATGTTTAAATTTTTAACAAGAAGGTGGAATATAGAGGGTTTGTTTTCTGAGCCCTGACATTAACACAGTTTTGCTATTGCCTGTGTACATGAAAGATGATGTAAGAATAAATTTTCCAAATGAACACAGGCTAATTTTCATTGCATTCATGTAACATGGTTTTGTGAGTAGTCATGATATTTCTCCTTTGTTTACATTTTTTTAATTATAAAGACAAATTCCAATTTCAAAATTTAGGCAATTTTATGGCTTAAAAGGTAGGTAGAAACTGTTAGTGAGTTAGATGTAAGCTTCTCTGGACTTCGGCAAAATTGAATGGTTTTGTGGTAACTGAGATGTAACTTTCATTTCTTTCTCAGTTCAGTACCTTCAGAAAACTGAGATTTGGGGTTTTTAAATCCGTAACAAAAATCACTTTTCTTAGTTTGTCACCATCCATTTTCACCCTTTCCCTTTGGAATGGCACTGAATGCATTCAAGCTTGGAAGGTGCTGGAACTATGATATAGCCACTTGTAGATAAGGACTACAAAGTGGTATAATTTCCTGAGATTGCAATACCTGTTCCACAAACTGATTCTAAGATGAAGATGTCAAAGAGCCTAGTGTTGAGAGAGGAACTGTTAAATTGGAGCCTAAATTTAAATTTGATACTAAATTTGACCCTAAATTCTTAACTAAATACAATTAGTGAAGCTAAAATATTAGTTGTTTTCAAGAGGCCTATTAGTACTGCAAAGATCAACTATCTATCCTCAGTGGAGGAAGAGGCAGACAAACACTCTGGCCACAGGTGCGACAGCTTGTGTTCTCACAACTTGGCTGCATGAATGAGCTCTGGTGCCTCACTCACGCTTTTCCTGAGATGATCGTGTCATTAGCAGCATCTTTGCTAGGAATGGAAGGAAAATAAATCGTCATGTGCTTCAGTGATCCAGAAATTAAGAGTCTCATGATGCAAGGCAACTTCTCCATTAAAGACCACCAGAAGTGGTAAAATAGCAATGTAGATAACTATATTAGGGCGTTTATGCTGGGTTCGTGCCATTAATCGTTTGTGTTGTTGGTTTGCTCTTCTTATTTTTGGAGTTTCAAAACACCACAGAAGCAAGCTGAAAGTACAAGGACGACTAGCAAGGGCCCTCAATGTAAAGCAGGGCAGCTCTTGGGGTTGCCACAGCTGGACTGGGCTCTTCCAAGTCATCTTTGGATTGCTGGGTCTAATCATTCATCCTCCAAAGTTCTGGACAGTTTATTCTTACAGTTTACACAGACTTGATCTCACTGAGCACATTAAAAAATACATTTTTTCAAGAGTCAGAGTGCCAAGGAATTAAAGCCTAAAGTTCCAGGTGCTAAGGAAAATCCTTTGAGAACTTAAATGAGAATACCTCTGCCAGTGACTGGGGCTGGCCCCCGCCCAGCTTCTGAGCAGTCTCCCTGAGCCCATGCAGAAACGACAGGACCAAGTTTCAATTTCTAAGATCTTTTTATTTCTGCCGAGTAGAACATTCATTCCACTTATCATTCCTTTGGTTCCTGTTTGGCCTTTACAATCCTCCCTTGCTTGACCTTTGCTAATTCAGCTTTTACTCACTCCTGGCTCCTTCCCAAAGATCTTTCAGGCTGAGATAAACCACTTTCTGCTTCCTGCAGCAAGAACATAAATCTCTTATCTGGCTCAGCCACAAGGTCTCAGAGCCGAGGTAACTTAGGTTAACTTTCTTTCCCAGGTTTCCTCATGAATAAGGCGCAGATAGAACTATCTTCTCAGTGCATGAATCTGGAACAGTGTGAGAGAGAGCTGATAAATGAGTAGTAGCTAACTAGAAAACAGTGGGGCCGGATATCCACTTCATGCATTTATTTATATGATTGGTTTACTTGTCTAGATTTTTACATGGGAGTCTTAAAGGTTCCCTCCACAGACTAAGTGCTTTCATTGGTATATTTTTCTATTAATACTGTATTTAAAGACCTGGACCAGGCACAGTGGCTCACGCCTGTAATCCTAGCCCTCTGGGAGGCCGAGGTGGGAGGATTGCTTGAGCTCAGGAGTTTGAGACTAGTCTGAGCAAGATCGAGACCCCATCTCTACCAAAAAGAAAAAAAACCCAGCCGGGCACTGTGGTGCACACCTGCAGTCCCAGCTACTCGAGAGGCTGAGGCAGGAGGATCGCTTGAGCCCAGGAGTTTCCAGTTGCAATGAGCTATAATGATGCCACTACACTCTAGCCAGGGCAATGGAGCGGAGACTCTGTCTCAAAAAAAAAAAATACGTACATACCTGGTTTCTTTCCTGTTGATAATCATTCCATGGTTTCCTAATTAAAGTATGCCTCTTCCTTTCTCTACAGTTGGCTCCGAAAACCCACCATTAACAGTCATCCGCAAATTTGTACACCTATTAGACCAAAGTGATTTGGATTTCCAAGAGGAACTGGAGGTAGCACGATTAAGGGAAGAAGTGGTGACCAAGATTAGAGCCAATCAACAGCTAGAGAAAGACCTGAACCTGATGGACATCAAGATTGGACTCTTGGTGAAGAACAGGATCACGCTAGAGGTCAGTGGGGTTTGTGGGACTGTCAGCTCCCGGAAGAGAGAAGACGCATACATATAGTCACGTCACTTCACAACGGGGATACGTTCTGAGAAATGCATCATTAGGCAATTTCATCACTGTGCAAACGTCATGGAGTGCACTTACACAAACCTAGATGATATAGCCTAGTACACACCTAGGCTATATATTAATATACAGCCTATTGCTCCTGGACTACAGACCTGTACGGCATGTGCCTGTACTGAACACTGCAGGCAGTTGTAGCACAATGGTGTTTGTGCATCTAAACATATCTGAAGATAGGAAAAGTACAGTGAAAATACTATAATCTTACAGGACCTATGTCACATATGCGATCCAACCTTGACCAAAATGTCATTATGTGGTGGGTGGCTATTTATGCTTATGACACTTTGGTCCAGCTAAGCTCATTTGGAATCTAGAATAAGTTATCTAAAGTTCATTTTCATTACAAGTTAGTGGTTCTCAGACCTGTAAAATTTTATGCCCCCTTTTTATAACATACTTCATAAGGCTTCTTCGCCATTCTGACATGAAATTTATATATATTAATAATAACATCTGCTCACATGTGTACCTTCATAATAAGACTAAGGCTTTTATGAAAATATAAAAGAAATTTTAAAAGTAATTGATAATAAAAGTACATATTTAGATGTGAAAATATGCTTGAGGACATTAGAGGATATAAAGTGACCAGGGCCTGGGCCTTTTCATAGAACAATCGCATAGAGCATTACAGAGATTGACACTGGGGAGGCGGAGAACTGGCGGGACCTCATTTTCTAAATTAGAGAAGAACTTTGTGTAAAGTCCAGCATAAGCCAAACGGTCTCCCCCATCACCATTTACACAGCAGTTGCAGTCCTAGAAAACTCAGTGTATATTAAAATTGTGTGGGCAAAAATGCATCGTGCAACCTGTATAAAACAGTTAGATTCTAGGCTCAGTTACAAACAGAATCTCGACCTATGTGAACGACCAGCAGGACATTCAAAAGTCCTGCCATGCGAGATGTGGGACAGTTATTTACACAGGATGGTCCTACAAATTGCCTGACAGCAGAGCGTCTGCCATCATGGTCCCCAACCACTAGAAACCTGGCGTGCCCTCTGATTGTTAAGATAATCAAAAACACCCCTACACATTTCCAAAATGTCCCCTGCAGAGTGGTACTGCCCTGTTAATAGCTTTTAAATAAATAACAGTGCGTTTCTTCTCTGTGTGAAACTTGCTAATGTTTCCATAACATTATGAGCTCCGTGAAACAGTGGAATAAGTGCCATTTTTACCTCATAACAGATTTCTAGGGTAAGACCTCTCTCCGTGTTCCTTTTCCTTTCCAATATGCCACATCAACTTTCAGCAAACTGACAGGTCAGGAAGGGAAGGTGCCCTCTGGAAGGCCATGATGGGTGAGAGCTGGAGAGCCCAGCGCCCAGCCGTCAGTGCCCGAGCGTGTGGTTCTGGACGACGAGAAAGCTGCCTGTTACGCAGGCATGTGAATGCCCCAGACCTTTTGTCCTCTAGACCTCATAAAGATACCAGGGAAATAGTGGAAGAGAAAATCAGGAAATAGAGCAGCTTGTAAAATAGAAATGATCGCCTTTCTAAATATTCAGGAATAATAAAACTATAATTTAAATATTCTACATTTGACTGTATTCGTATGTTAGCCAGAAAAACAATAGTACTTTACTCTTTTTTTAAAAAGTGTATTTGTGGCCGGGCACAGTGGCTCACGCCTGTAATCCTAGCTCTCTGGGAGGCCGAGGCGGGCGGATTGTTTGAGCTCAGGAGTTCGAGACCAGCCTGAGCAAGAGCGAGACCCCGTCTCTACTAAAAATAGAAAGAAATTAATTGGACAACTAAAAATATATAGAAAAAATTAGCCGGGCATGGTGGTGCATGCCTGTAGTCCCAGCTACTCGGGAGGCTGAGGCAGGAGGATCGCTTGAGCCCAGGAGTTTGAGGTTGCTGTGAGCTGGGCTGACGCCACAGCACTCTAGCCGGGGCAACACAGTGAGACTCTGTCTAAAAAAAAAAAAAAAAAAGTGTATTTGTATTGTTTGATACACTTGAGAACTTTTAAAGTATAATATATTCAAGAAGGTCCCTCAGAGAATGCCTTTTAGCCTTAAACTGCTGGTTCACCCTATCCCCATAAACAGGAATGCCTTGCTTTTAAAATAAAGACTTAGTTGCAAATCAGTAAATAGTTTAATTATTTTATGGAAATACAATCATGGCAGGTTTCCGGATATGTATGAATGTTTGTTTTTAAAGGTGTTTGTTACTAATTGATAGCATTGTAAAACAAAGTTAATTTTTCAGCTTACATTTTCAAATGCCAAATATGAATCCAACATTTATTAGAAGGTAAACTAATATTAAATGTGAAGTCTTTAGTCTTATTCGTAGAAGCATTTTTAGTTTGATGGTAAGAATAAAGCGTTTGAAGCTTTATTTATAGTAGTGGGAAAATGAAAAATAATCTAAACACGAAAGCAATAATGTTTTTAAAGAGTATTTAAGGGCAGGGGAAAAGGTTAGCAATATAATGGAGGAGAAAATAGTACCTAAAGCAGTATGATTTATTTTAGGAAAGAAATTAAGGCCAGAAGAAAAAAACTTAAGTGATTTGTAGCTCCATAGAAATATTGCTTGATTGAGGTGCCCCCTGTAGTATTAGAGACAGAAATGATCTCAGGAGTTTTGCAGGGCTTTGCCCTGAAGCAATGTGTGAACATGTTAGTTTGCGTATCAAAAGCTGCCTTGCCTCAGGAGGGCATCTCAAAGGTCAGTAGTAGCTGCTTTCCAAGGTGATGCTGCAGTCTCAAACCTGTGGTTTTCACCTGCTTTGAATGACAAAGCAGGTTTGCATGGAGTCACAGGATGAGAGCTGATCGAAGAGTGCCTGCCTGAGAGACAGGCACCTGCGGCTGAAGGCAATTAGCCCAAGGGACAGTTCATGCTTGACTCCTGACTGCCTGTCTCCATTCACAATAACTAGATAAAGAAATATGGAGCCACTATATCTCTGTTTAACCCTTCTGTTAAGTGACAGCTTTATCTTTGAACTTAGAAGTTTGTCTTTGAAAGATTTTGTAACTGTTTGTTCACATAGATAGAGTTAATGGACCTATAGAAGCCTTTTAGAAGACTTTTAACCTAAAAGGAACTACCTGTTGTCATGTAAACCTGTTACCCCTGGCAACCGATCTCTGTACGTATAAATACCTATGTGAAACTTTATTCTGGGCCTCACAGTTCTACAGGAATACTGTGGGGTCCCCCGAGTTCCTCCTCTTTTTTCATAACTCTATAAAACTGTACTTTCGTCTCTGTGTATTCTTTTATTTCTCTATTATTTCCTTATCCTTTGCAAGGACCCCTGCCTAAGGGACCCAATTTTTTGCTGGGAGTGTAGCTAACTCCCCGCGGTGATTTTTCTTTGGATGATAGAAAATAAGTTTATCTTCTGTACCACCCCCTCCTCTTTTTTTAACAATGAGTATGTTTAGTGAGGAAAAGATTTTAGAGGGAATTGGCTTGGTTCTTATAGAGCAACTCTAGCTCTCTCTGGTAAACTTAAAATTTTTTACAATTCTTTTAAAATCAGCATTCCTCCTAAAAACCTCAAAATCAGTGGGTTAGTAAAGTGGCTAATATAGATTTTAGGTGAAAAGAATGGTTCGGAAAAAGAAGACAAAGCAACTGAGAGGGTTCTGAGAGGCATAGGAAGGACAAAAAAGTATAGACTCAGATTAGATGGAAGGAAAACTTAAATAGAAACTAAAGGTAATCTTTAAGTGCTAAAATTCCTATTCATAAGTGTGATGCATCATGTAAGAGCTCAGATTTGCAAGCCAGTATTACCCAAAACCCAGGATTGAGATTTATTTTACTACTTAATTATATACTTCACTGCTCATATTAGTATGTGACCTTGAGCATGTTTCTTAATCTCTGTGAGCCTGTTTTCTTCTTTGGAAAATGTTCTAGGTAATTACATTTTTAATCTTTACAGCAACTCAGTAAGATTGCTGTTATTAAGCTCATTTTATGATTAGGCAATTGAGGCTTAGAAAGGTTAACCTATACAAGTTCACAAAGCTAATCACACGTTACAGATTCCCATATCTTTATGACTTTGAAGCCCAAGCTCTTTGTACTAGTCCACACCTTCTACAAAAGTGTGTCACTGTATGCGGATTCCCCATCATCAGGGGAGGGGGAAAGGTGGTGGCAAAAGGGCAACTTCGAGATGTGGGAAGATCATGAGCAAGGTAAATACTGTTGCTCTTTCACACCAGTACTCAAATGTTCAATATGTCTTAAGAACAGGGAAAATTAAGTTTCGATTTAATAAAAATTATCTGCCTCTGTTTGTAACCCCCATCTGGGTTGGCTCTGATCTCTCTAACAAGCTTCCCAAAGCAAACCTCCGCTCACACGAGGGCAGTCATGAGCAAGTCGGAATTCCACGGGAGCTCGGAAGAAGGGCTCACCCACTGACATGCGCAGCTCTGCGCTCCAGCGGACAGGCGCTGTTCCATCTGCACGGCCACTGGCTCCCCTCCCCTCCTGCGCTCAGCGCCTGACTCTGCTGTTTCCCTTCCTCCGTTATTCTCCCTGTCCTGTCTGTACCAGCTCTCTCTGCTGCTAGTGCAGAGCAATTGAGTTCTGTCCCGGAGCTCACCACCCCACCCTCTCCTCTCACCTGCATATGTCAAAGACCATTACCTGAAGATGAAGTCTGGGACAAAACAGTCTCCACTTCTCCAGATCGACCTCCATTGAAAATGAGGGAGAGGGGATGTTATATGTAACCAGAATTTTTTTCCTGCTCTGTATTTAAAATCAAGGTAATAGATTTATTCCGTGCATTTGAGAGAGGTTAAGCTCACCTGAGGTGAATACTTGACAATGTTTCCAACCACGTTTTCCAAAATTCCTTGTAAACGTTTAAAGCAGCAAGAAGAAAAACCTTAGTTTTGTTAAATATTTAGAAGATTTCATTCTCTTCCATCTCTGATTTCTACATTGTGTACATTTTGCAGGTGCTATTATAGATTGGGATATATTTAATAATTCACATTTTTTTTTTTTTGAGACAGAGTCTTACTTTGTTGCCTGGGCTAGAGTGAGTGCCGTGGCGTTAGCCTCGCTCACAGCAACCTCAGACTCCTGGGCTCAAGGAATCCTACTGCCTCAGCCTCCCAAGTAGCTGGGACTACAGGCATGTGCCACCATGCCCGGCTAATTTTTTTTTATATATATATTTTTAGCTGTCCAATTAATTTCTTTCTTTTTTTTTTTTTTTTTTGGTAGAGACGGAGTCTCACTCTTGCTCAGGCTGGTCTCGAACTCCTGAGCTCAAACAATCCGCCCGCCTCGGCCTCCCAGAGTGCTAGGATTACAGGCGTGAGCCACCGCGCCTGGCCAATAATTCACATTTTTAAAGTGTACAGTTCATTGGTGGTTAAGATAGTCACAAGATTGTTCAGTCATCACTTCTAATTCTAGAAAATTTTCATCACCCCAAAAAGAAACTCCAAAGAAAATATTCTAGAATTGGATAGTGGTGACAATTGTACAATCTTGTGAATATAATGAACACCACTGAATTATGTACTTTAAAAGAGTGAATTTTATAGGATGTGAATTATATTTCAGTTCAAAAAAGAAAGACCCCCCCATATTCATTAATAGTAGCTCTCTATTCTCTGCTTAATCCCAGCCCCAGCAACCACTACTAATCTGTTTTCTTTCTTTATAGATTTGCCTGTTTTGGACATTTCATATAAGTGGAATCACATAATATGTGGCATGTTCTGATTGGCTTTTTAAACTTAGGATAATGTTTTTAAGGTTCATCCATGTTGTAGCATGTATCAGTATTTCATTCCTTTTTATTGATGAATAATATTCCATTGTATAAATACACATTTTTATTCAATTGATGGACATTTGGTTTATTTCCACTTGTTAGCTATTAGGACTTATGCTCCTGCGAGCAGTTATGTACAAGTTTTTGTGTGGGCTTTTTGTTTTTAGTTCTCTTGGCTATATGCCTGAGAATAGAATTGCTGGATCGTATAGTAACTGTATGTTTAACTTTTGAGGAACGGCTAGATTGTTTTTCTAAGTGACTATACTATTTTACATTCCTACCAGCTAGGTATGAAGTTTCCAATTTCTCCACATCCTCACCAATGCTTGTTACTGTCTTTATTATAGCTATCCTAAATATGAAGTGATATCTTGTAGTTTCGATTTGCATTCCTTTAACAACGAATAATATTGAACATTTCTTCGTGTACTTGTTAGTCATTTGTATATATCTTCTTTGGGAAAACGTTTATTCAAATCCTTTGCCCGTTTTTCAATTGGGTTATGTGTCTTTCCACTTTCGTGTTGTAAACATTATTTATTCTGGATGCAAGTCCCTTATATCTGATATAGAATTTGGAAATATTTTCTCCCATGCTGTGAGTTGTCTTTTTATTTTCTTGATAGTATCCTTTGAATTACAAAATGTTTCAATTTTGACGAAATCTAATTTATCTATTTTTTCTCCTGTCATTTGTGCTTTTGTTGTCATATCTAAGAAATCATTGCCTAATCCAGGGTCATAAAGATTTGTGCCTGGGTTTTCTTTCAAGAGTTTTATAGCTCCTACATTGAGTTCTTTGATCTCTTTTGAATTAATTTTTATTTATGGTATAAAGTAGGGGTCTAACTTCTTTTTTTGAGTGTGGGTATCCAGTTGTCCCAGCATCATTTGTTAAAAAGACTATTTTTCCCCATTGACTTGTCTTGGTGCCTACATAACATCTTTAGAGTAAATGAGTACAGCTTTGGAGAACACATATCACAAGCCAAATTCACCTGTTATATTTCTTTCATTTGCTTAGCATTCTCTGTTTCTTTGTTTTTTCATGAAGAAAAAGTAGACAATCAATACAGGAATACCTTGGAGATATTGTGGATTCCGTTCCAGACCACTGCAATAAAGCAAATCACACAAATTTTTTGGTTTCCCAGTGCATATAAAAGTTATGTTTATACTTTACTGTAGTCTATTAAATGTACAATATCATTATGTCTCAAAATATATACCTTAATTTAAAAATACTTCATTGCTAAAAAATGCTAATGATCATCTGAGCCTTCAGCAAGTCATAATCTTTTTGCTGGTGGAGGGTCTTGTTTTAATGTTGATGGCTGCTGACTGATCAGGGTGTTGGTTGCTGACGGCTGGGGTGGCTGTGGCAGTTTCTTAAAATAACAGTGAAGTTTGTTACCTCAATTGACTTTCTTTCACCAAAGATTTCTCTGTAGCATGCAATACTGTTTGATAGCATTTTACCCACAGTAGAACTTTCAAAACTGGAATCAGTCCTCTCAAACCCTGCCCACTGCTTTATCTACTAAGTTTATGTAATACTCTAAATCTCTTGTTGTTATTTCAACAAAGTTGACAGCATCTTCGCCAGGAGTAGATTCCATCTCAAGAAACCACTTTATTAGCTCATTCATAGGAAGCAACTTGTTGTTCAAGTTTTATCATGAGATTTCAGCAATTCAATCACATCTCCACTTCTAGCTCTCCTGCTGTTTCCACCTCACCTGTAGTTACTTCCTCCACTGGAGTCTCGAACCCCTCAAAGTCATTCATGAAAGTTCAAATCAACTTCTTCCAAACTGCTGTTAATTTTGACCACCTCCCATGAACCACAAATGAGCATCTAGAATGGTGAATCCTTTCTAGGAGGTTTTCAGTTGACTTTGCTCAGATCCATCAAAGGAATCACTATCTATGACAGCTATAGCTGTATAAAATGTATTTCTTAAATAGAGTTGAAATTACTCCTTGATCCATGGGCTGCAGAATGGATGTTGCGTTCGCAGGCATGAAAACAACATAAATCTCCTTGTACATCTCCATCAGAGCTCTTGAGTGGCCAGGTGCATTGTCAGTGAGCGATATTCTGAAAGGAATCTTTTTTTCTGAGCAGTAGGTGTCAATAGTGAGCTTAAAATATTCAGTAAACCATTCTATAAACAGAAGGGCTGACATCCAGGCTTTGTTCCATTTACAGAGCACAGGCAGAGTAGATTTAGCATAATTTTTAAGGGACCTAGGATTTTCAGAATGGTGAGTGAGCACTGGTTTCAACTTAGTCACCAGCTGTATTAGCCCGTAACATGTGAGCCTTTTTTTTTGAAGTTTTGAAGCCCAGGCATTGACTTCTCCTCTCTAGCTAGGAAAGTCCTAGATGGCTGTTTATCTTTCAATAAAGGCTGTTTCATCTACATTGAAAATCTGTTTATTGTAGCCACCTTCATCAATGATCTTAGCTAGATCTTCTGGATAACTTGCTGCAGCTTCTCCATCAGCACTTGCTACTTTACCGTGCACTATTTTGTTATGGAGATGGCTTCTTAAACCTCATGATCCAACCTCTGCTAGCTTCTGACTTTTCTTCTGCATGCATCTTCCTTACCTCTCTCAACCTTCATAGGACTGGAGAGAGTTAGGGCCTTGCTCTGGATTAGGGTTTGGCTTAAGGGAATGTTGTGGCTGGTTTGATCTTCTATCCAGACATCTAAAATTTTCTCCACATCAACAAAAAGACTGTTTGACTTTCTTGTCATTCATGAGTTCACTAGAGTAGCACTTGTAATTTCCTTCAAGAACTTTTTCTTTGCATTCACAACCTGGCTGTTTGATAGCACAAGAGGTTTACCTTTAGGCCTGTCTTGGCTTTCAACATGCCTTCCTCACTAAGCTTAATCATTTCTAGCTTTTAACTGAAAGTGAGAGTTGTGCAACTCTTCCTTTGACTTAAACAGTGAGAGGCCGTTATAGGGTTATTAATTGGCCTAATTTCAATAGTGCTGTGTCTCAGGGAATAGGGAGGCCGAAGGAAAGATGGCACAGCCAGTTGGTGGAGCAGTCAGATCATATACAATGTTCATAGATTAAGTTCACCATCTTATGTAGGTGCAGTTTGTGATGCCCCAGAACAAATACAGTAATAACATCAAAGGTGGCAGACCACTATAATAGGTATGATAATTTAAAAGTTTGAAATACTGCAAGAATTACCAAAATGGGACAGAGAGACAAAAGGTGGGTATGTGCTGTTGGAAAAATGGTGCTGATAGACTTGCTTGACACAGGGTTGCCACAAACCTTCGATTTGTTAACAAACAAACAAACAAAATGCAATGCCTGCATTGCATTTAAGCAATGCCCAAGAAAATGAGGTGTGCCTATATTTCCAATTACGTGTGTTTCAGGGTGAAGGGAGGAGGTAAAGAGTACCAGAATTTTAAAAGTAGTCATTTCATAAAATTTTTTTACAGGATGTAATCTCACACAGAACAAAGCTGAATAAGAAAAAAGGAGGAGAAATGGAAATATTGAACACCACGGACAACCAGGGAATAAAAAGTTTAAGTAAGGAAAGGAGAAAAACACTAGAAACTTACCAGCAGCTATTTTACCTTTTACAGGTGAGAACAATTTGTCTTTTACTATGAGTTTGGGATAAATGCTATGTTCCATGTTTGTGGCTAACACTGGATCTTTCCCAGTGCCTTGGCTGTAATAGCTTATATGCTTTGAGCACCTGCTAAGTAGCAAGTGCACTATTCTAAGTGCTTAACATACATTATCTCATCTAATTCTTATTATAGCCCTGGGAACCATGAGAGAATAAGTACTGTTATTCCCATATTACAGATGAGAAAACTAAGGCACAGCCAGTAAATGGTAACACAGGGGTTTTAGAACTCAGGCAGTTTGACTTCAGACCTCATGCTCTTCGTGACTGTATTATACTACAGTTATGCACAGAAGCAGTATAACTCTAGTAACATAAACAGATGCTGTCATCCGTGGAAAAATGAAAGTAAGTATATGTGAACACAGATCTTTGCCAGAACCGGCCTGCTCTTTGGAGAAAAGAGCCAGAGGGTTAAGATTAGGAAATACGTCTTTTTTATTTTTTTATTTTCATGGGTTATTATGGTCTAAATGAATAGTAATATTCCATTGTTTCCTGAGTGCTGGTGAGAACTAATAAGTTTAGCTGGTTAGGATTGGACTTTGACGGACCAGTTACTGTTTGACCATTGATGCAGCCCATTGCCCTTGTCACACATACAATTAGCCACAGAGGAAACTGCGTAGTACTTATAGATACAAACCAGCCTCCCCTTCAGCAGGAAACCTTCCAAAAGGTGTGGATCAGTAGCTCTTCCTCGTTAGAGCCAGGTGTCCCTCAGTGTGGGATTGCTGATTGTGGTGATCTTTCAGGACCTGGCGATGCCTCAATTTTGTTTGAGGATGTCATTTGCATTCGATGTACAGAGAGCACATTATATAAACCATAAACAAGAGGTGTGGTTAATCTCATTGAGAGAAAATATGTTACTATTGGTAGAGCTGAAAATTCTCTACTTGGAGTAACAGTTTGGAGAACATCATCTTCCAACTACATAGGTGCCACAGATAGCCACGCCATGGCAGCATGGAAGGAGAAATATATAATAATAATAGAATTGTCTATCGAATCTACTGCTTAACACCAGCAACTTTTCAGAAAGAAACGGGGCTCACTTTGAGCAGGGAAGGTTTTTGTTCTGCATAGCTTAGATTAATAGTCAACCACCAGTTAAAAATTTAATCTTAGGCATTTGTCATTTTTTATATCCTTGGAATTCCAAGTGTATGAAGATTCTTCAGGATTTAGTTTTCAAAATTTGACATAATTTGCCATATGAAAAGTCAAAGTCTAGTCACTGGCCTAAGATTTGTGTTATTTATGAGCCCCTATTGTATAAGTGGAGCTCATTTGTGGAAAAGAGAAAAAGCACAGGAACATGTTTAGAACAATTCCACTAAACCTTATCCCCCAAACAGTCCAAAACTGGTAGTCACAGAGTGTTACCATTCAGTCGTATCAGGTGAAGTGTCTCTTGAAATCGTGTTTCCTCTCCTCTTCTTCTCTCTCCTTTTGAGACGTTAGCCCAAGATCAATGAAGACATTATGGAAAGGCAAATGGCCTGGATTCCTCTTCGATTACACCTTAGCAAGAATTCTTAACCAAAGCAGCAGGTCAGCCAGTATAGGTTTTGCTTTTGGTTTGTCTCTTCAGTATAAGCCTAAATTTGAAGTTTTTGGGTCACCTGAGGAGGAATAATGACTAGCCTTCTTTCTTCAGCTCCAGAGTTAGTTTCATTTCTCTTGATTCCCATATGTTTAATTCGTGTTAGAAAAGAATCACTACAGAACTGTCAAGAAAAAGTTGTCCTGAGCTGCTGATTCATAAAATTTCAGCCAGTTGTTATGAGCTTGAAAGTAAACCCAAGTAGTAAAGTAAACCAGAATTTGGATTTTCTCAAAAGCTTTAAAACCAAACTGCTAGAGTATATTGGATGAATATTGGTTTTCAAATATAGAAACATTTTTTTCTCCCGTCAGAAGGAAGATGAGATGAGGAGCATTAAATTTCTCATGTGAATACTTCTTCTGTAACCTAAATACTAGTTTTTCTCTTTTAACCTCTACCTGGTTGGTGTAGCTGCTGGAGAAAAACCACATTTCCATGAAGGCTGGTGCTAGATCTCCTGGAATCTGTCCTCAGCTGAGTCCTCAGGGCTCTATGTCAAATTTTTTTAAATTCCTGGAGATCTTTTAAGGTCTTTGTTGTTGTTTTGGTCATGGTCTTCTGGGACTTCCCTCGTCAGCTATCCTGACTTTCACTCCTCTCTTCAGCCTTCCTACCTCACTCTCCCTTCTCCTTGTAGGACATCGTGGCCATGTTGCTGTCTCCATATGTAAATGTATCCTTTCTTCTCTCTAGTCTAAGAAGATGGTATGCGTTTCCTTCCTTTCATCCATCAGTCCTCCTAGGTCAGTCTGTGCAGCTGGGCCCTTAGTCCATTCTTGCCAGTCTCTTTGGACCCCAGATTCTACTAACCACTCCCATCCTCTTTATCTCTATAATAAATATTAATATGTGGCTCAAAAGGGTTAACAGTGAAAAGCCTATATAAGGTAGTCGTATGTTATATTAAATGTAGAGTGTGCAACATTTAAATCCTATCATAACTTTCTAATATAGCTTTCTATAGCATAGTATTGGTAATACTAGCTGATACCTTTTAAAGTCTTATGTGCCAGGTACTCATTTACATGCTGTTAATGGCATATTAAGTCATTGAAGAGCAGGGAATCGGATACTGCTTTCCTCTTTAGTAATATATTAACTATAGTTTTGTGGGATTTCTTTTGTTTTCTTCTCTGTTTCCTTTCAGACTAACCCTTTATACTTGGCGAAGCTGATTTTCCAGATGCCACAGAACAAGTCAACAAAATTTATGGATACCGTTATTTTCACACTATACAATTATGCTTCTAATCAGCGAGAAGAATATCTACTCCTCAAGCTTTTTAAAACTGCTCTGGAGGAAGAAATAAAGTATGTATATAAATATGTATACAAAAGTACCAACGAATAGATCCTTTTGTTAGTGATTAGCTATCTCTGATTTACTAAAATTATTTTTAAGTTATTATAAGTTATACATATTAAAATATATCAAATTTCTTGAGAAATTTCTATATCATTAGGGCTATGTTCGGGTACAGTTTTCTCTCACAAGTGATGCCTTTTCAAGTATTGAATTAACTTTTGATTTTGCATGTCTGCAACAGTTGAAAGCCAAATGCTTACTGACAGTCAGTGGGAAAATTTAACTTAAAATTCTCTAATAAAGCCATTAATGTGTGGGAGTGGAGAGAGCGATCTCTTCCTGAATACTCTTCCTAATTACTCTTCCCTTCTTACTGGAACTTAAGCTACTTTTGCTAATTTATTTTCTGACTCAGTTATGTAAAAATTGTGTAGGTAGCTATAATGAATGGGCCAAAAAAAAAAAAAAAATGCATTAGAAATGTCCTTAGCCAAGGTGGACCTTAACTGCTCTCCTAACTTTTTGAAGCGTGTGAGCCAGGCACCTTTGCTGTCAGGGTGTCTATAAGCCAGCGTGAGCAATGGTTTCTGAGAAATAGTAATACTGTTCAGTGGAGTGTGGTAAGTACTAAGTGAAGGGCACATATACTGTATCAGATTAGAGGGATGAGAAGAAAGGTTCCAACCAGGTTGACTGATAGATTTTATGAACGAGGTGCTTGGCCTAAAACCTTGAGGAATAGCTACAATTTTTGTAAGAAGAGATAGAAAAGGGAAGTAAGGCGCAGAGGTGGTGGAAACAGCATGGGCATAGGTGCAAGGAAGAAAGTAGATATATCTGGCCAAGGAGTGACTTAATTAGTAACTACCAGGAGATGAAGCTGGAAAGGTAGGTTGGGGCCAGATCATGGGAGACACTGAGTGAAGGCCCAGCCATAAAGGCTCTATTTACTTTCAGAGGAGCTGTGAAAGGCTTTTGAGCAGGATGTTGACATGACCATGTTGGTTTTTTAGAAGATTGATCTGCTAGTCCTGGATGAACAGGATGAATTGAAGCTGTACAGGTCAGAGAAATCGGGGAGTCAGAAGGTTAAAAAAAAAAAAAAAAAAAAAAAAAGGATTTTTAACACACTGAGCCACAGGTGTAGAACATGCGGTTGAAAACGTGTAACAGAAAATTTGAAATTCCAGACTGACCCTCAGGAAAGAGATGTGAATTTGAGATTGAGATCAGAGGATAGGTCCCAAAGAGATAGTAGCTGAAGCTGTGCCTGTGAGTGAGGTCTGAGGAGAACATGGTTACGGGTAGACTTTGGTGTTACTGGAATTTTTGTTGTTGTTGTTGTTGTTGTTGTTGTTGTTACTGGGTTTTGACCTTTAATCCACCCCATCTGCCCTATAAGCACATACAATTAGTCAAAAAGTGAAAACAGAATTTAAAAGAGCCAGCTAAGAAAATAAAAAGGAACTGAGTAGGTAGGATAAGAACCAGCATGCAACACTGTCAGGCCCTACAGGGAAAGGAGGTGGAAAAGGGAGAGAGTGCCACAGGGAGGAGGGCGAGAGGTTGCACAGGGATGACAAGGGGGAGGTTGTAGGAATCGGCAATCAGAAGTCAAGAAGGGCTCTCTCAGCCATGAGATGGGCTAGAAGCTGCATTGCAATGACTTTGAGTGGGATTCGAAGAAGTGGAGATAGTTCATTCAATCCAGAAAGATAATTTTGAAACTTGGTAACTAGAGGGGGCGTAATGCTTGTCCACTGTCTCCCAGTGTTGTTAGTCTTGGTCCATTTTCAGGTCATCTCTACTTTCTAGATTGAAATTGAGGCTGAGACCTTATTTTTAGATCCTTAAATTGCTCAAATCAAAAACACACCTTACAAATGATTGCTTCTTTTGAAAAGCACACCAACTTTGATCTTCATAGAGGAAATTATAACTCCACAAAGCCCTGGCTTGCCAAAGAGTATATATTGTTTAAAACCGTATCTGTAGAAGCAAACTATTTTGTTTTTGAATTGGTTTTTTGTTTTGTGTTTTTTTTTAGATCGAAGGTGGACCAGGTACAGGACATAGTTACTGGTAACCCTACTGTCATCAAGATGGTTGTCAGCTTCAACAGAGGTGCCCGGGGACAGAACACCCTGCGCCAGCTCCTGGCTCCAGTGGTGAAAGAGATCATCGATGACAAGTCCCTGATCATCAACACGAGCCCTGTAGAGGTGTACAAGGCTTGGGTGAACCAGCTAGAAACACAGACAGGGGAGGCCAGGTAAAAAGTCAGAAGGTGTTGGTTTTTTATCATGTTTTATGATTATTTTTACATGCGCATTTCTATATACTCATAAACTCTGTTGAGCAAAAAAAAAAAAAATTACTGTACAAAGTCAGTTTTCAACCCAATATTTTACCTCTCTTTAACATATCCATGCAGATCACATTCTTAGATTCTTGGTCATCTTGATACTGAATGACATTTCATTTTTCAGAGCCAGTTGATTCCCAGTGCTACAACTTCTGTAATTCTCTCCCTTGTTTATTCTTTGTGTGTTCTTAAACGTAGACCTAGAGATAGTTCATATTCAGTCTTCACCTGATAATATGTATATTTTTATAGTTACCAAATGCTTAACTTTAATATGTAAGGATTAACAATCCAGGGATCTTATTCTGGATGGTTGTTTATAGATCTGAGCAATCCTAGCTTTTTATTTCCTGTAACGGATGTCTCAAGAAATACCATGTGTACACAGAATTGTGTGGGTGGTTGTCACAGTACTGCTTTTAATAGAAAAAGTCAGGAAACGTCAAAATATTCAGCTTTAGGGGATTTGTTTTTTTTTTTTTCCTTTTGTTTTTTTTATTTCATCATATTATGGGGGTACAGATGTTTAGGTTACATATGTTGCCCTTGACCCCCCTCCCCCGCTAAAGTCCGAGTTTCAAATATGTCCATCCTTCGGGTGGTGCGCATTGCACTCTTTGTGTATGCAAATACCAGTCCCCTCCTCCCTCCTGCCCCCTAGTGGATTTGTTAAATAAATATTTGTATAGTGCATGATGCAATAAGTATTTGGAATGGTGGTATAGATATGTATTTATTGGAACAAAAAGTATTCATAATCTATTTTGCAGTTGCAGTTAGTATATGATAACCCATTTTTCTGTTAAAAAATCAGTCATGCATATACACACAAACACAGGATCTGTATGGGATGTCTATATGCACAAACTACATTACACCCATGAATATGTGAGGCCCATGTACACATACGCATAGAGGAAGACTTGGAAAGTTATTCACTAAGGTATGAAAATTGGTGGTCTCTGCATTGGTATTTTTTTTGTTTGCTCATATGTGATTTTTTTTTTCTATAATCATATTGCTTTGTATAATTTAAAAAAAAAAAAAAGAAAGAAAAGAAAGTAAGTTAGCTGTGTCCACGTTACCTGGGTTTGCCTATTATTTTGCCAGAAGAGCCTGGGGTAGGAGGTGCCTGGAGTCCCTCCTGTTCCAGTAGTGGCGAAAGGTACCCCCTGTGCATGAGAAGCTTCCCTTCACTTAGCAAACATTTTGTTATTAGAGTCAGTAGGCAAAGTCCAATTCACTATACAAAGCTTGACTGTAGAACCAACTTGGCAGGAATACTAATGCTTGTACCTAAGCCTCTAATTAACTGAAAGCCCCTGTTGTGTTCTCAGCAAGCTGCCTTACGACGTGACCACAGAACAAGCTCTAACATACCCCGAAGTGAAAAATAAACTGGAGGCCTCCATCGAGAACCTGAGAACGGTCACCGACAAAGTCCTCAACTCTATCATTTCTTCCCTTGATCTACTGCCGTAAGTGGCATTTAACATTCTCTGCAGAAAGTTCTTGGAATACTGTGTAAAATACGCCCCTGTAGTGAAGACAGGAGTTTTCCCTCATATTGTGTTTTACCATTTGAGAAGATTGCGTACATTTACCTTTTAAATTCATAACTGCTCTCTGCAGAGGGAACAGTACTTGTCATAGCCACAAACACGGCTCGGTTATTATCATCAGTGCAAGTCCTGTGATTCCATTCCCATCTCATTTGATGTTTAATTTTTAGGAAAACTACTCAGCTTTAGTTGACTGGAACAGACGCTGTGTGTTTTTTTCTCACTTAGCCTTTTTCCATTATTTTCTTTTGTCATCTGTTTCGTATGTAGTTATGGATTGAGGTATATAGCCAAAGTACTGAAGAATTCGATCCATGAGAAATTCCCCGATGCAACAGAAGATGAGCTATTAAAGGTAGATTTTCAAGGGTAATCTCACCATAGCTTCTCTTGGGGGTATGAACCAAAATTGCCAACATACCGTTATGTAAGACTTTTCCCCATGGCTGGCTATTTATAATGAGCTATGGGTCTTCTATTTCTAATGACTCTCAATTATTGGTTAAGCTGAGGTTAATTTGGAGATCTCAAACATTATTGAAATTCTTTGTATTAGAGAATTTTGGGAGTAATACACATATTTTTCACCAAAAATAATTTTGTAAATTACTTTATTAGTAATGTGTGATTATAGTTACTGCCTTTACTTAATTCCTTGTTAGGATTCACATCAGAAAATGATCTACTTTCTCCTGAAAAATGTAAATAATGTATACTTTTTTGTTGTTGTTTTTTTTTTTTTTTGTTGGTTTCTGGCTGCTTTTAAAAAATGTTTAATTTTTTTTTTTTGTCCCAAGGAATGACCAAAGCCATATGCATTGTTTCAGGTGTTCATTGTGTAATTTTGTGCCATCTGAATTTATATAATCTAATCTTTTCTGGCTTTTTCAGACATTTATAGTTAATGGCAGTTAAATCAGCGTTAATAATAATAGTTAATTTTTAAAAATATGCAAAATGCTTTT